GAAACCCAGAGTACAGCTACCTCCGATCAGCTTGCAGCAGGCATTGATTAAGAAAAGCTATGAGTGAGTGATCAGAAAATGATAGTCATCTATTATTTTCAAAGGTATATGAATTTTGTCAAAGCTCAACAAATGTATACTTACAATTGTGCATTATAATATATATATGAATTTTACCACAAAAATTTCAAAGACTTTGTTTTCAAAAGAAAATATCTGCAAAATATTGAACTCTATGATAAGATGCTAAAGTATTTAAAGGGAAAGCATACTGATTTCTAAAACTGGATGAATTAAGAGACAGAGAGGAACAAATGGTTAGGCATGTGATAAAACAAAGATAATGGAAATATCTAGGTAGTGAATATGAATATTTACTATAAAATTATTTAAACTTTGCTATATACTTGAAATTTTTAATATATTGGGGAGGTCAGAATCCAGGGAATATATTTGAAGCAGTGATTTCAGGAAAATTTGGAGGCTTATATACTTTTACCAACAGAAGTTATACATAAATAAAAATAAATTCCCAGCTCAAACATTAGGAAATAAAAGTGCTGGCAAGATGGCTCAACTGCGAAGGGGACTTGCCGACAAGCCTGAGTTCACTCCCTGGATAACCACATGATAACTTAGCATAATCTGTGGAAACCACATGGTGGAAGGAGAACCAACTCCCACAAGCTGTCCTCTGACCTCCACACTTACGTATCCATGTCACGCATACATACATACAATGTTTTTTAATAAAAAATGTAAATCATTTCAGTGTTAGTAGCAAAAACAATGAGTATTTCTGCAAGGAACAATGTATTCTAAAATGAAATGGAGATCTTTTTTACAGGTTAAAGAACTCATTCAATTTTATGTCTTACAGGGCTTATACTGAGTTCAAACTGTATAACTGTATTAACTCAACTGTGAACCTAGAAACTTGCACCCACTTGTGAAAGAGATGTACTCTTGCTCTGAAGTGTGTTACTGAATATGTTAAAGCTGTAGTGAAATGCTTCTTCTAATCATGTAGTTATTTAAAATTTTTAAAATTAATGATAAAAAAATAATTCTTCAAAGCATAAAAATTTGCTCCTTAATAATTAGTAGATGTGAAAAACATTACCATTGAAATCTATCTGACAACTTATATCCATGCTCAGATGCCAAGGAGCTCAGAAAGTAATCAACTGTCACTAGTAATAATCAGGTATATAGAGATTAGACAGGCACGTGCAAACATCTTAGTGTCAATTGCATTAAAAATGAATTTTTCTGTATGAAACTGTGTATTTTAATAATGAAAAAAAAGTTAAAACCTCATTTAATGTTATGTCTTATAGAGTTTATACTGAGTACAATATTGTATAACTAATAATTCAACTGTAAACCTAAAAATTTACAGCCAATTTTGAAAGAGATGCATCTTAGCTCAGGAAGTTGTTATTGAATATGTCAATGCTGTTGTAATGAAATGCTTCTTCTAAGTATGTGATTAACAAATAATTTTTAAAAAAAAGAAAAAAAATGTAAATCAAAACAAAGAACAGAATAGGAAATAAGAATAGAGTATTAATTAATAAGGTAGATGACAGGAAAACAGAAGACCTAATTAATCAAAACCTATTCTCTGTTTTTTGAGAGAGGGTCTTCTGCAGGTGGTCTCACACCTGCTAAAGCTGAGGATGATCTTAAACTCCTGATCGTCTTGTCTCTGTCTCCACAGTGCTGAGAATGTAGGCATGTACCATCACGCCTGTCTTTTTGTTGTTGCTGGGTTTTTTTTTTAATTTATAGGTAATCTACTAGCTAATTTAAATAAGAGAAATGTTTAAATATATATAATAATAATAAAGGACAAAAGGAAAATAAACTCGAAAATAACAGAAAAGCAAATCTGAAATCATTAGAGGGAACTTTGTAGACTTCTATGCAAAAAAAAAAAAAAACAAAAAACTTGTATGAAATGGATAATGTACTAGACAAAACAGTTTACCAAAATTAAATCTACAAGAGATAGAATATTCAAGCTGTACAATTTCTGTTAAAGAATCAAGAAAGTTAGCTATGTATCACTCAGCAAAAACCACCAGGCCCAGATGGTTTCATAAATCTATCAAAACATCAAAGACCACTATTCCCAATAGTCCCCACATTGTTCCAGAGCATTAAAAATGAAGGAAAACTTCCCAATTCTCTTTGTGAAGAAAGGACAATGTACATACCCAAATTTAATAAAGGCAGCACAAAAAAGAAAAGACAAATGTCACGTATGAATACCAATGTGAAAGTATGAAGTTAAAAAATTAGTGAACAGAATCCAGTACTTACCAAGAAAATGATTAACAACTGAGGTTTATTCCAGAAATGCAACATTAGTTCCTTAACAGACCATGGGGTGGGGGAATCATGTGTCCTATCTACAGCTGATGAAAAGCCTTCAAGAAAATGCAGCACCCATTTCTGGGGAGGTGGAGGAGGGAGGTAATAGGCCCTCTCTTAAAACAGTAAAAAATATATCCTATAACCCTAGAGATATGAGAAACACTAGAGGCACTTTAAGTAAGAGCACAAGACAAGAATGTACATCATTTCCAGTGCTATTCAACAGTGTCCTAGAGGTTAGAGGCAATGCAATCAGGTAACAGAAAGAAAATCAAAGAATCAGACTTAGAAAAGTAAAATTATTTCTTTTTGAAGACGGAATGATAAACCCTGAAGACATGGTGACAAACTGGAACAATCAAAGAACTGAGTAGCATGGCAGGGAATGAAATTAGTATGAGTTCTGCAGGTTTCCTACATAAAAATAAGAACTAATTAGATATTACCAAAAACACCATTTACACCAGTAAGAAAAACTACTTTGGAATAAACTTAGCAAGAAATGAACAAAATGATCTATGAGGAAAATACTCCTTATAAAAAAAATAAATAAAACCTAGAGTTTGCTCTAAAATAGAACTCAGCACAATCAAGTTGTCAGCTGTCCTTTGCTTTTGGATTTGATAAAATCAGAATAAAATAACACCAAACTTTTACAATGGAACTAGGTGAGCTAATAGCAAAATCCTGAAAAAAAATTATTATTTATAAGAAAAGAGTGAGGAGGTAAGAGAGAGAGGAGAATATCCCTTCCCAACAGTAAAATATACTACAGTGGCCAAGATTTCAAGTAAAACAGACGCAAAATCAAGAAAATGGGCTGTGCACTTTATAAAACATGAGATAACAAAAAACTAATATAATCACAATCCAGAAACTGTATGTGATGGGTTAAACAAAGGAGTTAAATTTTACTTGGAAGAAAAGTTAGAAATCAATAAAGGACTTAAGGAAACAGAGAATTGGGTACATAGAACTAAAAATGAAGGAGTAGGGAGAATTCTCAAAGTGAAGATGATGGTAAAAATTAGAAGACTTATTTTGCTTTCTAACATATGTCTTCATGTTGGCAAAGTATTACATTTTAACTTCTTTCTATATAATGTTATACCTACAAAATTCAGTATCTTCAAAAGAAAGAAGTTGCCTTGCTGAAGGATATTGACCAATTCATCAGATAAAGAAACTGAAAAAATACAAACTATACATCACAAAAGGAGCAAAAATATGTTGCAATTTAGGAATATTAGTGATCCTGATTTAACATATTAAAATGTAGCAAAATATAATAAAAGTTAAACAAAATTTTTTAAAAATTAGAAGAAAGAACATGCTCAAAACAAAGCTTGGAACTCTGGTACACGTGTGATTAGTGGCACATTATAGAGAGCAGTTCATGCACTCAACACATAAAAGAGGGGGTAGTGTCAAATAATAAAAATTCAGAAAAGCTAAACATTTAGACTTTACTGCTATTATCAAGCTTCACAATAATGATAGAATATTTTATGGCTCCACAACAAAATCAGACTGCTAATGAGAATCCTCAGTTGAGGCTAACACTAGACAGAACAAAGCAGACAAGAAGTCAGTTTTTCAATACTGTTTCTATTCTTTTATTTATTCTAATACTCCTCTGTCTAAAAACCTTCACTGACTCTAAACACCTTTCTTCAAGTCCCTCAATATATGGCCCATTCTATTCAACTACATTTTCTAACACTGTCCAAGATTCACAACTCCTCAAATATTATACTATCTATACTGGACCTTGAGCAAGGCTACAAAATGCAGGAGAGATATATCTACATTAGTCTGCTCAGGTTGCCACAGCAAAATACCACAGGCATAAACAAGAAATTTATTTCCTTGGTTTTGTAGGCCATAAGTTCAAGATCAATGGAACAGTCAGTTTATTCCTTCTGAGAACACTCTTCTGTCTTGTAAAGGACAGCCTTCCATGACCTCCTTTGAGCATAAATGCAAAGATCTCTCTTCTGTTTTTTCTTTGCTTGTGTGTGTCTGTGTGTGTGTGTGTCTGTGTGTGTGTCATCTGAATGTATGCTCTGTGTGGGGGGGTCCTTGGAAGACAGAAGATGGCACTGGATCCCCTGGAACTGGAGTTACAGGTGGTTGTGAGCCACCCCATATGGGTGCTAGGAACTAAACATGGGTCCTTTGGAAGTCAGTACTTGCTCTTAACCTCCAAGTTGTCTCTCTAGCCCTTCTCTCTGCTTATAGAGCTACCAGGGCACCAGATTAGGGCCCCACATAAAAATTTCATTCAATCTTAATTACGTTCATAGAAGCTTTATCTCCAAATACAACAGGACTAGAGGGCTTCAACAAATAAATTTTGAAAGCCATAAATATTCGGTCTACATCACAGCATGCTAGTTCTAAAACTAGACTCAAAGTTTGCAACTCCTCCTCTTCCCTCTTCAAATACTTCCACCATCATCTAGAGAATGAGGTGCCACAGCCAGAAACAAATGAAAGACTGGTAAGTGAGGCTGCACTAGATCATCCAGTTCTTGTGAAAGAGACAGCAGCATGAACAGCCCCCCTTAATAATTTGAGAAGAGTTTGTTAGAAAGCAGTAATACTAATAAGCATACCTTCTTGCTCTGCTTTTTGACCTAGACCTTTGGACTCTGTAGGATTTCCCTCGGCCCCTTGAACGACTTCGGCTTCGTTTCCTCCTGGAGCTGTAGGAAGAGCTGCTGCTCGACCTGTGTCTGCGTCTAGAACAGAATCAAGTATCATCTGTAAAGAGCTTCGGTTGTGGGCATTAGGAGAAATCCGAATCGTCTCACTTCTGTTATGCTTCACTCTTTGCTTGAGGCAGATACAGAATAACGAAAATGCTACTACACCTAAACAGTCAGGTGACTGATTCATAACTGGATTAGCTACTATTTAAAATATTATGGGCCACTCTCTCCGACCCGCAGGCCTATCTCTGGGGTAAGTCGATCCATCGCGCCCTCTGAGCCTTGACTCCCCCAGCCTCATTCACCCTCCCCATCTCTCCCACCCTTCTCTCATCCTAGCCTGGGTCTAGTCCCATTCCTTGTCTTGGCACCCCAGGTACGTGGGAAACCACCACTGCTTCCTGAACCTTTGCATCCAGACCAAGTCAGTTCCTTCTCAGGTCCCCAGGAGCACTCTGGGACTGGCCCCACCCTCACCTCCCTCTGCTTCCCTGGGCTGCATGAACCACGAGCCTCTTTCCAGGACGCTGGGGCTGACCTTTCCTCTTCCTGATCCTTTGCCTCCAGACCAACCCAGCTCCTCAGTGCAGTCCCCAGGGGCCCCTGGGGCCACTTCCCACCCCCATCTTCATTTGCATCTCTGGGTGGCATGGCCACCAGCTGCCCTAAACCAGCATCTTTCCTGGGTGCGGCTCCCAGGCCAGTCCAACCCCAAATTCCTGAGGAAAAAATCTTTCCTGGAGGGATCCAGACCTTAGGAGAAAGCCTGAGAGTATCTGATCCTCATCTGACTTGGGCCTCTGTGGGAACTCCTGAAGACAAAAGCAATCTGGCCACTCCACTATAAAATCAAAAGAGAGAAC